TGACCCAGCAATCCCATTACTGGGTATATACCCAAAGGATTATGAATCATTCTATTATAAAGACACATGCACACGTATGTTCATTGTGGCAGTGTTTACAATACCAAAGACTTGGAACCAACCCAAATGCCCATCAATGACAGACTGGATAAAGAAAATGTGGCACATATACACCATGGAATACTATGCAGCCATAAAAAAGGATGAGTTCATGTCCTTTGCAGGGACATGGATGAAGCTGGAAACCATCATTCTCAGCAAACTGATACAAGAACAGAAAAGCAAACACTGAATGTACTCACTCATAAGTGGTTGTTGAACAATGAGAACACATGGACACGGAGGGGAACATCACATACTGGGGCCTGTTAGGGGGTGGGAGAGGTAGGGGAGGGATAGCAAGGGTTCGGGGGATTGGGGACGGATAATATTAGGAGAAATACCTAACATAGATGACAGGGGAATGGATGTAGTAAACCACCATGGCATTTGTATACCTATGTAACAATCCTGCATGAGCCGCACATGTACCCTAGAATTTAAAGTATATATAAAAACAACAAAAAACTCAGAACACTGTTGTAGCCTATTTTAAAAGGTCATTTTAAGGTGTTAATCATTGTAATGCATCGAGAATTTCAAACTGAATCCAGCTGTACATAAAAAGAATAAGGCATCATGACCAAGTCAGTTTTATCCCAGGAATGTAAAGAGGTTCAATAGAAAATCAACATAATTTGGCACATTAACAGAATAAAGGTGAAAAATAAAACAATCATATCAATAGATGGAAGAAAATAAAAACAATTTAACAATCATTCATGATTTAAAATGATTTTAAATGATTTTTGAAATCCTTCTTAAACTTAGAATGAAAGGAAACATACTTCCTTAATGGGATAAGGGCATTTTAGAAACCGAATAGGAAATATCATAATTAATGGTTGGATACCGAAACTTTGAAACAGAAGTCAAAGACATCTGTTTTCAGCATTTTACTCAAAGACTTAGCCAGTGTAAAAGGGGAAGGAAAAAGCTGAACAACTGGAAATATAACTACCATTATTGGTAGATGACATGACGGTGTCATGTCATCTTATGAATCTTCTATAACTGAATTTAGCAAGGCTGCCAAATACATCAACATATAAACACCATTTGGTTTTTATATACTAGCAATAAAAAAGTAAATAGGCCAGGCCCAGTGGCTCATGTCTGTAATCCTAGCACTCTGGGAGGCCGAGACAGGCGGACTGCTTGAGCTTAGGAGTTTGAGAACAGCCTGGGCTACACGGTGAAACCTTGTCTCTACTAAAATATAAAAAATCAGCCAGGTGTGGAGGCAGGCACTTGTAATCCCAGCTACTCAGGAGGCTAGGGCATGAGAATTGCTTGAACCCAGGAGGCAGAGGTTTCAGTAAGCTGAGATCATGCCACTGCACTCCAGCCTGGACAGCAAAGAGAAACTCTGTCTCACAAAAACAAACAAAAGAGTAAATAAAAATTTTTGATCAAAGTATCCACCACGAGATTAAAACACACACATACTAAGTACTTGAGACTGTCACAAGAAATGTACAAAGTCCCCCCACAGAAAATTATACATTACTGAGATAAAGTAAAAAATATTTGAATGAATGAAGGGACAGATCACGTCCAAAGGCTGGAAGACTCAATAATGCAAAGGTGGTGGGGCATAGTGATTCACACCTGTAATTCCAGCATTTTGGTAGGCTGAGGCAGGTGGATTACCTGAGGTCTGGAGTTTGAGACCAGCCTGGCCAACATGGTGAAACCCCGTCTCTGCTAAAAATACAAAAAATTCGCTGGGCATGGTGGCGGGCACCTATAATCCCAGCTACTCAGAAGGCTGAGGCAGGAGAATCACTTGAGTCCAGGAAGCAGAGGTTACAGTGAGCTGCGATCGCACTATTGCACTCCAGCATGGGCAACAAAAGCAAAGCTTTGTTTCATAATAATAATAACGATGCAAAGGTGTTAATTCTCTTTAGAATAATTCAAAGCAATGATAATAATCTTAATAGGTATACTGTGACATCTGACAAGCTGACTCTAAAGCTGATCCTGAAATGCACAGGGCAAGAAGTGCTAAGACACTTTTTTTTTTTTTTTGAGACGGAGTTTTGCTCTTGTTACCCAGGCTGGAGTGCAATGGCGCGATCTCGGCTCACCGCAACCTCCGTCTCCAGGGTCCAGGCAATTCTCCTGCCTCAGCCTCCTGAGTAGCTGGGATTACAGGCACGCGCCACCATGCCCAGCTAATTTTTGTATTTTTAGCAGAGACGGGGTTTCACCATGTTGACCAGGATGGTCTCGATCTCTTGACCTCGTGATCCACCCGCCTTGGCCTCCCAAAGTGCTGGGATTACAGGCTTGAGCCACCGCGCCCGGCCCAGGCACTTTTTTAATAGGGAACACTTCACAAATGTGTGTCATCCTTGCACAGGTACCATGCTCATCTTCTCTGCAACATTCTAGTTTTAGTGTATGTGCTAACAAAGTGAGCATGTAAGACTCTTGAAGAAGAAAATAAGATGGCAGACCTTCTCTAAAGATGTCAAGAGTTATTATAAAACTATGGTAATTAAGAGACTGTTATAGGCACAAAGACAGAAAATAAATCAATGAGATAAAACAGATCCACCCATGTGTGGAGAACTCAACTGATGACCCACATGCCACCACAGAGGAGTGTGGCAAGGGCTGTCTTCTCCTTAGACAAGACAGGACAGCTGGTTATCTTTCTTTAGAAACAAACTCTGGAACAACACCACACCATTCACAAAAACACATTCTACATGGATGGCAGACCTAAATGTGAACAGCAAAACAACAGCATTTTCCCAAATTAATAAAATAACTGTGATCTCAGCCAAGGGAAACAGTACTCAAAAGACTACACAAAAAGCAAAAATCAGGCCAGGTGCAATGGCTCAAGCCTGTAATCCCAGCACTTTGGGAGGCTGAGGCGAGTGGATCACCTGAAGTCAAGGGTTCGAGACCAGCCTGGCCAGGACAGTGAAATCCCATCTCTACTAAAAATACAAAAAATTGGCTAGGCGTGGTGGTGTATGTCTATAATCCCAGCTGCTTGGGAGGCTGAGACATGAGAATTGCATGACCGGGAAGGCAGAGGCTGCAGTGAGCCAAGATCACTCCAGCCAGCGTGAAAGAGTAAGACTCTGTATCAATAAAACCCCACCAAAATCATAAAAGAAAAGAAGGTGATGGATAGAACTTATGTTTGCTAAGCTACCAATAGTGAAAAGCCAGCCACAGAATAGGAGAGGACCCTTGCAAGGTATGACTGACAAACGTCTGGTATCCAGAATATAAAAACTTCCTATAAATGATCCTATTAATTAGAAAATGTACAGCTGCTTTGCCTAGGGAGTAGCCATTCTTTTGTTCCTTTGCTTTCTTAATAAACTTGCTTTGACCTTACTATATTGACTTGCCCTGAATTGTTTCCTGCACAAGGTCCAAGAAGCCTCTCTTGGGGTCTGGATCAGGACCTCTTTCCGGTAATGTCTTCCTAGTGAAATCCAAAGGGATAATACTGAGGAGACCTCCGACCCAAAGAAAATACATTGCAGCACCCATTGGCCGACTTTGGGTAAGTGGGGTGCATATACCGTGGCAAAGGGTGGAATTGGGTTAGAGACTCAAGTTAGGGGAGTCAGAGTTTCTCCTAAGACGGAGTGGGTTAAAGGCTCCTCTTAAAAAAAGGCAAGGGTACTTGAACGAACCTGGATTCCAGGTCCCACTTGGGAAGATTAGAGTCCTTCCTAAGACATAAGGGGTTAAAAGCCCCCCTTCAGAAAGTCTCTCTCTGCTAAGAATGGATCTGGATACAGAATGTTAACCACTATTCTCTTTGGATTAATCTGCCTTGCACTCTCTGCTGATGGTTGCAGGTGACAAGGTTAGGCAGGTACAGGATAATGGAACATGGGAGCTTTTTTCCTTTCCAAAATGAGGAACTCTAGAGCTGATGGGGCTGCTGGATAAGATCCCTTCATGACTGACAAGTGGCCACCTGAACTTTTGATTCGGTGTTGCTGTAACGGGTGGGTCTTTCTCTAGCCTCCCTGAGCTCCTCACCTTCCCCATCCCGCCACAGGCAATGCTTTTCTCCCTCTTTTCCATCTTTTCTGTTACTCAGGGCAACTGTTTCCTCTTTCATCTTGCCCAGAGACCACATGTTGAAAAATGTCCTTGGGAGTGGACCTTGTAACCACATGGAGGTAATTTCTCTTGGTTTCCACCATCAAGCAAACAGGAATTCGGGGGTTCATGTCGTAGTTAGCTCTAAAAGTTATCTCGAGCAGTTAAAAGCCTTTGCAAGCTCAGAACTGGATGCTCTAGACTTCTTCTGGGAATAGTCCAGGCACCCAATACTGTAGCTTAGTGGCTAAGGCTTATTGTTTTCACCTGGGAGGTTGCCTTTGGTAAAGTTAAAAAGTCAGAATTATTGGCTGTGTGGCCTGGCTAAAGTTGGGTAATAAGAGATTTAAGTAAAAAGAGCCCTATGGGCCAGGCGTGGTGGCTCACGCCCATAATCCCGGCACTTTGGGAGGCTGAGGTAGGCAGATCACTTGAGTTCAAGAGTACAAGACCAGCCTGGCCAACCTAGTGAAATCTCGTCTCTACTAAAAATAAAAAAAATTAGCCAGGCGTGGTGGCGCACACCTGTAATCCTAGATACTCAGGAGGCTGAGGCAGGAGAATTGCTTGAACCCAGGAGGCGGAGGTTGCAGTGAGCCGCGATCATGCCACTGCACTCCAGTCTGGGTGACAGAGCGAGACTCCATCTCAAAAATAAATAAATAAGCACTATGGTTAAAAGTCAGCTTAAAAGTATATATTCAGGCCAGGCTCACACCTATAATCCCAGCACTTTGGGAGACCAAGGTGGGTGGATGACAAGGTCAAGAGATCGAGACCATTCTGGCCAACATGGTGAAACCCCATCTCTAATAAAAATACAAAAAAAAAAAAAAAAATTAGCCAGGCATGATGGCATGCACCTGTAGTGTGAGGAGACTGAGGCAGGAGAATTGATTGAACCTGGGAGGCGGAGGTTGCAGTGACTTGAGATCGCGCCACTGCACTCCAGCCTGGCAACAGATCAAGACCCTGTCTCAAAAAACAGAAGTGGATATTCAAGATCTAACAGCTTGGGACTCCTTGGGAAAGAGAGGAGGTACCACAGACCCCATTTTGGGAATTTTCTCATGAAACCCCAGGAATTTAAAATGGATAGATGCTCCCAAAATTTAAGACTCGGCTCTGTTTTTCATTGTGTTACCTGACGGTTTTGACTTCACATTATGAGAGAGCTTTGGTGTGTAATAATTAGGTAGGAAATATACTTTGGGGGTAGCTAATGGTAGTTATAGGGGAATATACAGCTCTTTGCATGTTTGGATCAGAGAAGCATGCTCTTGGCCACCTAGAAGGTATGGAAATGTCCCCACACCTCACTGAGAGATAACACTCCCATAGGGGATGGGCTGATTCCCTTTTTTGGGGATGTAGTATCTGGTATAGAAATGGGACGCCTGATTTCTGGAATTTGCTTTTCCTTACAGCTGCTTATTAGGTCCCAGAAACTGCATGTTTCCCTAGCCCTGTTTATCAAAGAGCTCCACCCTGAAGCCAGTAATCCAACTAAGAAACTTAGAAACTGAAAATGGAAAATCTTACAACTCCTGGATCTTCTGTCTGTGTATTTATATGTTATGTGTGTGAAGTTTATATATGAAAGAGCGTTGATTAATTAGTTTAAAAATACAAGCTTAAACTATGTACTTTGTCAGAAAAATTAAAACTGTAGTGCCTTTTAATTCACATGACTTAAGTAATCTTAGGGAAATGAAGACAGTTTTAAAGATTACGGTAAAATAAAAATATCTTCAAAAATTTAGGCATTTGGTGTAAATTAGGCAGTTCAGATGTTAGGTTTGCTAAATGCTTTAAAGTCATAAACCACTTCTTTGTAATGTGTACTTGAGACTACGGGAAAAGCAGTTCTACATGCAAGGTGTATAAGGAAAGTGAAGTATATTTTTGGTAAACGATTGTAAGAAGTCATGGGAATGTAAATTTTTTTTTGCCTAAAGGGTTAAAGGATTATTTTAAGTTAGATAGAATAATGCTGAAGATTGGAGCAAGTTGTGGAAGGTTTGTGAAAAATTAATCTTGTAAAAGAAATTTGTGTGTGAACACACTGGCCTAAAGTTAAAGGGGTAATACTTGTTTTTCCATAAATTGAATATTGGAATAAAGGCACAACAGAGTTTTCTTGCAGCACGAATCTGCTCTTTAACAAAAATTGTAAAGGGTTATAAAAGGTTTATGAGAATCTTACCTTATGGTTGAATAGATTTGTCTTATTATAAGGTTTTATTAAGAATTGGGTTTTACATCAATAATGCACTAATGCAACAGTGAAACTTGACTTTCTCCCTTAAACAAGATTTTTAATGTTATATTTTTTAAAATAATGAAAGATGGCTGGGTGCAATGGCTCATGTCTGCAATCCCAGCACTTTGGGAGGTGGGGGCACGTGGATCACTTGAGACTAGGAGTTCAAGATGAGTTATCATTTTGGGTAAATGAATAACTTATGATGACCTGGGATTCTATCAAGTGTTTAAACCTTTAATATTTGACAGACTTCCCAAAATCATATTCAAAATTACACCTTTTTCTGACCCTAATTAATCTTTTGGGTATTAGGTCCCCTCAAGTCTAAAAAATAACATTTGAAGCTTATTTGGTATAAAAATCACACAGGAAACATTGTCAAATACGAAATGATGTTTGGCTTTCTTTGGGCTATATTTGTATAAATATGTTATTGGTATGTGTTCCCAAATCAGTGAAACTTGTATAATTCTGATATGACAGTACAGGTTATTAATAAGTATAATTGGTATGTTAAATTGTTGTATGTCACAGAAGTAGTAATCAAAATTCCTAGTCAATTGTGGCTTTTATAGAGGCTGCCCTAAGGCATTCTGTCATCCACGGAAAATTGCGGTCTTGTTTTGGTCCTCTTTAGAAGATGGTTTTATAATCAACTATAGAACTCTAATAGGTGTTCTTGAATGTAGGCTTCTGATAACTTTGGAGATTGTGAATTAGAATAAAGGAAAATCTAGGTCGGGCGCGGTGGCTCATGCTTGTAATCCCAGCACTTTTGGAGGCCGAGGCAGGTGGACTGCCTGAGGTCAGGAGTTAGAGAGCCACCTGGTCAACATAGTGAAATCCTGTCTGTACTAAAAATACAAAAAATTAGTTGGGCATGGTGGTGCATGCCTGTAATCCCAGCTACTTGGGAGGCTGAGGCAGAAGAATCGGTTGAACCCGGGAGGCGGAGGTTGCAGTGAGCCGAGATCACGCCAGCCATTCCACTCCAGCCTGGGCAACAAGAGTGAGACTCGTCTCCAAAAAAAAAAAATAAAATAAAATAATTAAGGAAAAACTTTCAGGACTTTCA